ATTTTTTTTCAAGTTTTGCCCACCCACGTCAAAAAGGACGACAAGAAATTAACGAAAAGCTCTGTCAAGAAATACGAGCACGTTCGGTCACCCGTTGCCGATTACATAAGGGGCAGCGGGACGAAGCTCACGAAGCCGAAAAAAAATTAACTACGACCGAGAGAGGTGAGCAACGCGGCTAAAGATATAAATATAATTTATTAGAACTGCAATGCATTAGAAATTTACCTCGATCTGCGTTATTTCGTAAGCTAACAGGAACAACAGTAGAAGATAAAAATGTTGCCGATCATTTTTTGCATTCAAAAGTGCACGGCAAGCTCGCGTCTCATGTACACACGGTATGTAATAATTTGTGTGAGTGCGTGTGTGTGTGTACATGAGACACGAGCTTGCTATGCACCGTTAATTAAAATTTAATCTAATAACTTTGACATGATACAATTGTGTAACGACTTGGAAATTTTCTTTAGATAGAGGAAGCAGGAGAAGTGGGAAAGCATGTATCGATAAACGATCTGCACACAATTTGTGGCAGTCGTGATCGGACATAAGTCAATTTTAATTGTTGAAATGTTTTTAAGTACAAAGTATTATTTTTATGTTATATAAATATTATGTTGCTTTCTAAGTATAAATAAATACTGTACTATTTTTTATGTTGTATGACTGCAATAAAAAATTGTTTGCAAACAAATAAATGTTTTATTGCATTACTATAATTTTATACATTATTTTAAACGTTATATATACATTACTATAAAACCAGTACTTATTTTGGTATGTATTTGTGTACAAAAATAATACTTACAAAATAATAGTTATATATTTAATAAACACACTTTATATCTTATTGACGTAAATTATTAAAGTATTCGTTGATTAATATATTACGCGCTAGTAGACCTGCATTACCTGCTTCATTTTGAAAATGAGGATTTACATTATTATTTGCGATATTTTCCAAAATATGCAGGTTTTCATCATCAACAGGTGGAGGAATATCTTCCCCTCGACGTCGTGCTATATTATGTAACACAGCACTCGCTATTATTATTGTCATTACTGTGCTGATTTTTAAGCGACTTCCAAATGCTAATATTGGAAATCTACGTTTCCAGATACCGAATGTGTGTTCGACTATGGTTCGTGTTCGAATATGTGATTCATTATACAATTGTTGAGCACGGCCTTCAGGATTTAATAATGGCGTAAATAAATAAGGTTTTGCAGGATAGGCGCTATCGCCTAAAACAAAAAGTTTTACTACGTGTCAGAAAATAGTTAATTAAACTTAAATAGAGTTATAACTATTATAATAATATTAATTAAAATATATTATTTTCTAAATAAAACCACATACCTAATAATAAACAGTTGTGAAAATGATTTGTTTCAAATAACATTCTTAAATTACTGTTCTGAAATATTGTTGAGTCATGAACTGAGCCTGGCCATCGAGCTACAATGTCAATTATTTCTCTGTTTGCATTTGCCACAACTTGTACGTTTAAGGAAAAAAATGATTTTTTATTTCTAAATATTTCTGCATCATCACCACCTATTTACATTATATTATATATATATTTATAT